AATTGCATTTAAGCTGGTTTACAGGAATTGTACTGACCTTGACGATTTTACGGTCGCTGAAATAATCAGTTCAACATAGTTTCGCTCCGCCTCTTGATCTCCCCAAGGCCGTAATCGGCTTATCGATGGATTGAGAGTGAAACCACGCAAACCTTCTCACGGGGCTAAGTTAGTTAATACTGCTCAAAAAATAAAATGGAGCGTCTACTAAAATACGCGTATCTACTATCAACGTCGTTTGAATATATATATATATATATATATATATATATATATATATATGTCTCATTAAATAATTTAGACAAGTTTTGTTTATTTATTTTTAATATGATCCTCTCATTTCTACAATGAACTAAAATATATAAAACAAACTCTTATTAATAATAACTTCCTGAATTATATTGTCGATGAAACAAATAGGATGTTCCATTAGAAATTTGAATGTAAAGCAAATAGAATATAATACTTCTTTAAATAATACTAAGCATATTATTCTTTTATATCACAATCAAATACATTCTAATTATAAACAGGTTGAAAATATCCTAAAAATACTAATAAATACTAATATATCCACCACAGATCTTAGCCAAAAAAAAAAAAAATTAATTATTTACTATACTAAATTCAATATATCCAATTTAATCATTCATAATGACTCCTCCCCACCAATTAACGTGTTGCAGAAAACCAACATTATATATAAATCTAAACGTCTTTTAGGAGATTGTATCACCAACAGAAAAAAAGAATATTTATGTTGATCACAATACAACTAGATTATCTCGGAGGTTGAGATTTAATTTGAATGATGCATCTAACATTTCTAAACATTTGCAACAATATGCCTGTCCACATTCGCAATTTAGAAAAAAATCTTATTGAAAATACATCAATATTTTTCATGAAAATAATAAGCATGAAGTAAAAATTCTCTATTAAAAATTGAAACGAACCCTTAATAAAATTAATTATGAATACTAAACAGTAATGTTTTAAAATGTTTACACTAGGTAGTTTAAGAATATCTAGGTTTTAACTAATAGCTTTAAATAGTTTTTAAAAAATAGGCAGACATCTTAATAACTTAGTTACCTCCCTTGACGTTACTGCACGGGAATGCTTACATCATAAAATTTTAAAAATCGTACAGTACATAAGTTTAGCGGTTTTTACTTTAAAAATAATAATAAAAAATTTTTTCAGATAAGCACAACAAATTTGTCTTAGATAAAACAAGATGAAAATGTATTTTTGCTAATGTCGAAAATACTCGGAATAAATGAATATGCATCAACATGGTAATTTTCTTTCTTCCTTTAATAAGGATACTAAGAAGCTTGCCTGTAAATATGAGAGGATTCAAAATAAGTAGACAAAACTTGTCTAAATTATTTACTGAGTCATGTCTTAATGAAAACATGCTGCTAATATATATATATATATATATATATATATATATATATATATATATAGAGAGAGAGAGAGAGAGAGAGAGAGAGAGAAAGATCAAACAAATCTATAGAAGAAGATAGATGATTGAGATGATTAAATCAAAGGCATAAACTTCTAAATCCCTAATTGCAACCCACAAGACTTATGAATCCATATATGCTTCTCATGCTCAGCTAAAATCTCAAGTTAAATCTCAGACATTGTTTCATTTAATGAAGCTTTTAGTTAGCGCCATCTCTAACCAGAGCTCATATCGCCAAGCCTTCAATTCAATACGTGTAACGAATTCTCCACCACTTCATGCTGTTGTCATTGTAATTTCTACCTGTTAATTTTTCTTCACTGTTTCATTCCTGGGCTATTTCAAACAGTACTTACTGTATCTTAAGTAGGTCATTGTTGTTGTAACGTAATCAATCCCATGTCGTATGCAACACAAACATGGCCATCCGTTGAGAGCGCAATTTCAGCAGCGCCACCTGGCGGATGCTTGCGGGTGGGCAAAAATAAACCCGTATGGGCATGCGCAACAACGCGAATACCAAATGAAATTTGAAGTAAAAAAAATGTAAATAATCTTTATAAATATTATTGTGAAGAAAAAGCCATGCGAAGTTGATGGAATTTAGAAAATGCGGTATTCTAGAACAATGAAAAATGAAAGATAAAAGGGTAAAAGAGCGCTATCAAAGACGCTGCATTTTTAAAAATTTCTCTGTTTATTAAATAAGGAAATAATTGTTAAGATTCTTCTTATAAAGAACTATTTCATTTTTCGCTTGCTTTTTTCTTTCCTTTTCTCTGATTTATTTAAAGTTTTCATCGAAGCCTTTGTTTATGGACAAGCAAATGCTTCAGAATGAGTCTTTCAAATACAATAGCCATTAAAATTATTCCGTTTATTCACTGTAAATATTTCGTTTTTTACAAATAATGCAATTCCGTTGGTTCGACCCTCACTGGGTGCTGTATGTTCTCTGCCTAGTGACGCATCTAAACTATGTATAGTAAATCGCTATATTAAATTTCGAATAGGTGGATTAATACTCTTCCGAAGTGTATTTGCACGTAAGGAAATATAACGAATCCGAATAAAATTGGAACTCGGCTCTCCGATTAACCAATTCCTTGCCGTTGTCCATTAAACCATCCGCACGTCTAAGCTTGCAGCAAATGGTATTCTCAAGCAGTCACCAATCTAGCTACTGATCAGGCTCGACGTTGCTTACCTTTAGTGATCGTACGAGAATCGATGTTTCAAAGTGATATAACCGTAAGCTGCTAAACCTGGAATTTGAAGAACGTTGTGATAATAACAACAAAGATGAGGACATTCCGTTCATTCACTGTAAATATTTCTTTTTTTTACAAATAATGCAATTCCATGGGCACTTCGGTGTGGTGTAATGATTAGTGAGGTTGTCTCGATAGATTAACTTACAACTGAGTAGAGAGTTCGATCATCACTATGTGCTTTATACTTTCTCCTTAGTGCCACATCTAAGCTACGCATAGTAAATCACTGTAATAAGTCCGAATGAGTCCGAATGCAAATAAAGCATAAATAAAGAAAGCGTCGAGACAAAAAAAAAAAAAAGAATAAACAAATAGATTGAATGAAAAATAATAAAGAAGAAAAACATGAATGATGAAGGCAGATACAAATCATGATGCGTTAGCTCTTATACTTTTACCGCCAATTTGCCCCAGACTCTGTCGCAGGTGTTTCGCTTAGAATAAATAAAGCAAGAAAACTATGAATGCATAGAAAAACATTTTTCTACCGCGTACCGAAAAAAGGAAATGAGTTTTCATTACAAATAATTCTGCGTCTTAATTCAATTAAAAACCAGTTGGCGTTGGAAAGATTTACGTTTTATATGCTTTACGAGTGAGTTTTATAAAACATCGACATCGGAATAAATAAACGATGAAGGGAGAAGTTGAAGTTTTGAAAGAAACAAAGAAAGGAAATACATTATAGATCCAATTACAATCAGAAAGAAAATAACGTATCAAAGATAGAATTTTCAAAAAGGGGAAAAAAAATAAAAATAGCAAACACAAAGAAACAAAAAATACGGTAAACGTCCTTATATCCGAACTTTTCAGTGTTGTCATTTAGATGTTGTAGGGATAAGCTACATTCTAATATTTTTCTTTTCTTTGCAAATAATTGTTAGTAATTTGAAATTTCTCAAACCATAATGTCTCCCATAGAAGAAAGTTCATCTCCATGGAAAAGGAAAATAAATTCTTTCACGTTACGTCAGAAATTAGAGATTATTGAAAAACTGGACGAAGCTCCTAATTCGTTGTATTTACAACTTACATAAATCTTATTAAAAATTGTAAATTAATATAATTTTTGTGAGAGATTTAATTTTTCATATATTGCGATAGGTTCTTGTGTTTTGGTAAATTATTGTTATATTACCCATGTCACATTATATACAAACCCGTCCTCATATCCGACTACTCTGAAGTTCGGATATGAGGATTTCAACTGCATATGAATAAAAGAATTGCAATTAAAACATTTCCACAAATAAATAAATAAATGAATCGTTTTCTGCATATGTCAAACCTGTTACTTGCAATACCGCTTGAGACTTCCTGTTTTTTTTTTGTTTTTTTTTTGTTTTTGTTTTGTTTTGTTTTTGTTTTTTTTTAAGCTGACCGGATAATGTAGAGACAATTAAAATGTGACTGCTTGACATTTTTGTATTTGTCCAAATGGTTAGTGCAACTATATAATAGTTGTTCTAGTGAGCTCTCTTCTTTGGAAACTCGACCGCATGACTTTAATAGAATTAGCTACTAGATCTCATTGTTTGACTGTTGTAATAGCTAGATGTAAGTTCTATTCTAATAGCTTATTTTTTCGAACTTCTCACCTGTGGAACTCTCTTCTGATTTCTTGCTTTAAAGCCACCTACGATCTTCAAAAATTTATCTACACCGTCAATCGTCTATTTTTTCTTCTTGAATCCTGGTTTTTTCTTCTCATATTTATTCAAAAAGTCTTCTCATTTTCTTTCACTCCCAGTAATCCTTTGCGTCTTAGTGGCATCATCGCCTTACTTGGAATGTAATGATTAAAAAAAACAAAACTGAACCGTAACTAAAAGATTGTAAACCCCACTTTTCAGATGAGGACTTATCATCATTATTATAATATTATAGAATTGTCATTAATATTATTATATATTGATTTATTTAAAGAATTGTCTTCTTCTGGCCGAATTTCTGTTCGAGTTTCATTATTTACAATTATTATTTATATTATTTATAAGCGAACTACGTCTTCATTTTTCTTGTTGTTATCACAACTTTTCGGCAGATGTGCCCTTCGCCCTTTATAAGTTTTTTTTTAGATAATAGTGGTTTAGTGATACTAGGCTGACTAACTGTAGAGGTGGATTCATGCTTTCCCCAAGGGTATTTACGCGTAAGAGAATATAACGAACCCTAATGGAATTGGAACTCTGATCTCTGATTAACAATTACGGGGCATTATCCACTACACCACCCGCGCATCGAAGCTTACAGAACCTGGTATTACTAAATGATCACCCATTTAAGTACTGACCAGGCTCGACATTGTTTAACTTCGGTGTTCGTACGGGAAGCAGAGATTAAATGTGATGTGGTCGTAAGTCCAGATAAGTTGATATCTATCAACTTAGAAACATCAAAATTCATAAAGAAATATATATATTCCAGTTTGGATTGAAGCTACATTCTCTTTTTAACACATCGAAACAAACTTGTAGGAAAATTTGCTTATACCGTTTCAGTCGCGGAAACACGGTTACCCTTTTAAAGAAATTCACATCAGTGACATTTCGAAGGAGTACTTCGATGCGATGTAATGGTTAGTAAGCTTGTTTCGCTAGACCACTTGCGACTGAATACTGAGTTCGAGTTTCACTGAATGCCCTATACTTTCGGCTTTGTGCCGCATCTAAGCTACGTTTTAAAAAAAATCAATATTCGAACACTTTGACGTGGCGTAATGTTTAGCAAGCTTGTCTCGCAAGATCAATTAGAGCTGAATAATGATTTCGATCCTCACTGGGTGCCTCATACATTCGGTTGTGTGTCATATCTAACCTAAACTTAGAAAGACAACATCTGAGCACTTCGACGTGATGTAATGGTAGCAAGCCTTTCTTACTTTGATCCTCACTGGGTGCCCCATATTTTTGGTTTTGTACCACATATCAGCTACGCTTAGAAAAACACCATCAGGACATATTGAAATCTATATCTGCTAATATCTGCCAGTATTAAAAGTATATCTATTTTCAACAAAAGTTGTTTAAAATATATAAACGTTTGTATATGAAAAAACAGTATACATTGTATGATATGTATGCATAGAAGAGTGGGTGTTTATTAATCATAGCTAAAATCAGACAGCAAATATGCGACACCATGTGCAGTTTGAAATCACAAACTAATCAATATCGATGTTCGTATATATATGTATGTGTGTGTGTGAAATGTATATATATATATATATATATATACACGCATTTCACACACACACACACACATATATATCTATATATATATATGCAATTTATTATATATATTATTTATATATTATATATGCGCGGTACTTATTGGAAAGCGCTCAATATCAGAGATAGAGCTAACATATTTAGTCGGATTGATGTGAGTTTGTGACCCTGGGTTTCACGCTTTTGCGATCGTCAGACAAACTGATTATTTTTTTTAAATTTTGGATTTATGTAGGGTTGCATGTATTGACGTTTTTATAGAAGTGGGAGGAAAAATTGGCGTTGGGATGCCACTCATACTTACGCAAACATACATACACGCCTGTACACCCATTGAGGTACGCAGACACACACACGTGCTCGCCCACCGGAGCTCACACAAACATAAACATATGTGAACAGTATGGGACTTGACATATATATGTATATATGTGTCGTTGTGTACATACGTACGCATTTGATTGCTGTATTCAATGTTGGATTGTGTAGCTAATATTTTTTTGATTGTAGCGATGTCAACGCGCAGACCGTTTTTCTATTTTTGTTCGCTGAATAATATTTTCTCCCACGCACGCATGATGGGGTGTGTGTAAACCTATGATAGGTAAAAATTGCTATTATTTTTAATTTTTTAAAGCTGTTTTGTTATTATTTTAAAGCCGGTTATTTGCTTGTTTTTGGTGATTGCGCATATGTAAATGGTAGAAATTCCAATTTGTAATGCTTATTAGTTTTTATGCAGTGAAAATCATTTTGGGCACTTCGATGTGATGTAAGCTTGTCTCGCTGAAACAATTACGACTGAGTAGTGAGTTCGATCCTCACTGGGTGTGACGTACTGAGACTGTCCTTGTGCCACATCTAAGCTACACTGACAAAATCACTATATTTTCAGTCTCTTCCAGAGTCTTACTATTTTTCTTTTCGACTTCGCTCTTCTAGTATCAATCTCAAATTTCATCTTCTTCCTTGCCAATTAATTCATACTCCCGAGATTTCAATTTCAAAGTTTATCTTCTAAAGAACTGATTCTCAACTACCGTGCCGCGGCACACCAATGTGCCGCACTCCTATTAAATATGCGGCGATAATTTTGTCACAGCATACATATATATAAATATGTGTGTGTTTGTGTGTGTGTGTGTGGAAGTAGCAATGGTACAGTGTTACTATTTGAATAAATGAATAATTACTCAACTTTTTTCAAATAATTCTTTTCACTATTCTTCAACTATGTTATTTTAGATACTTTGTTTTAATAATCATTTTTAAAGTATTTTTATTTTTTTAATTTAACTTTTTAAAATTTTTCTTTATTTGAATAAATGAATATTAACCATTTTTCATATAATTGTATTCAATATTCTTTGTTTAATTTAAAATCTATGGTTTTATTTCATAACATTTAAATGTATGCTCTTTAAAAATTTAACTATGTGTGTCATGATATTTTCATTTGCTTCTTTGATGTGCCGTTGCTTAAAAAGGTTGAGAAACACTATTCTGAAGATTGCTAATAAACGGAGAATAAATGTTGCTATTTTATTCTTCTCTGTGTACGCATTTTCAGGGGAGATAATCCTGTCTTTACAACGGAAAGAGAGTATAGCGAAAATAAGTATTATGGAAAGTGTTAGGAGAAAAACCCTTCCGTCGAACGTTGGTGGTCGGCAATCAAACATTTGGCACCCACTTGACTGACAATTTCTGCATACCCAACTGCTCTGGAATTATAACCCCAACTCGCGTTACTACTTAGATATCTTTAGAGTTTCGACAATTCTTTCTTTCTTTTTTTTTTTTTTTTTTTTTGGCCGAGATTCTACGATCAACCAAAATTAGGTTAGGAAAATGGTCAACAATTTCAGGAATTGACACGATTGAAGGTCTCCCAGATCGTGCTTACATCTTAGCTTAGGTCTTAAAATAATCTCCTCGAAAAGAGAAAAAACATTATCTTCAACACTTGAAATGAAAAAATGGTTCAGTCAATGTTTTGAAACAAATCTAAAAATATGAGCAAGGGTTCTGCAAATATTAGCGCTTTTATAGTTTCTAAAAATCACTCTTTCCAACTACGGTGACAAAATAACGCTCAGGTTTTGGGAAGCGGTTTGATTCAAAAATACTTCAATACTTCGTTGTAGATAAAATGCCATAAATTGTAACGCTTTTTTAGCTTTTTTGGCTGACCCAAAATAAATCGTTTCATTTTTGACGTTAGATGTTATTATTATCGTTTTTTTTATTGCATTATAACAACTGTTATATCGTGGTGTATTTAGATTTACTAACATTGAATTGGGAAAAAAAATAAGCAACGTTCTCCCTATATGATGCTTTAAGAAAATAGAAATATAAAACTGTGACTCAAACGCAAAAACAGTTTATAAAGAAGGTACTGAGAATGATTAATTAAAGTTTTAGGATGTTCGGCAAGTAAATACGTATTTCCCTGTTATGAATTATCAGTAAACAAATCATGATTGAATGGCAGGAAATTGTATTTATCTTTAGTTGATCATCTCTTCTTTTCTATTGTTTATCGTTTGTAGTCTATTTCAAAGTTTAAACGCACAGTGAATTATAACTTTGAAAAGCAACATAAAAATATCATTTCTCACTGTATAAGCTTCAATGGGTTCATACTGCTACAGAAGCATTTAAAAACATTTGTGCAGTGTATACTGATGCAGTGAATGTTCGCGTATATCAGTTGTTAAGAGATTTAAAATGGTGATTAGCCAGACGAAAAATAACTCTGAACAAAGAACATTTGAAAGATAATCATTTTTAAAACAACAGATATATGGGGTATAAACTTAATGCGTCATACAAAATTTCGAGAGAATTGGAAAAACTTAAACACATACACACACACATATATATATATATATATATATATATATATATATATATATATAGAGAGAGAGAGAGAGAGAGAGAGAGAGAGACAGACAGACAGACAGACAGATTACAAAACGAGAGAGATGAGAGATTCAGGGTTAGAGAAAACGAGAGATAGACATGGAGAATGGGATAAGTATATATGTAGACACCAGCATATATATATATATATATATATATATATATATATATATATATATATATATATATATATATATATATATATAGTCAAGTTTCATTGAATAATTTAGGTTTGTCTGCTTATTTTCAGTAGGATCCGTTCCTATTCTCGGATGAGAAGAGAAAAATTACCGTGTTGATACATATTGTTTTATTCCGAGTACTTTCGACATTAACACAATGTCATCTCCTTGGCGTGTTTTTAAGACAAAAATGTAGTGTTAATTATTTCCAAAGACAAAATTGCTATGTTCATCTGAAAGTTACAATTTTATGTGTGTAGTGAGGGCCGCTAATATTTGTGCCATGCGGTGTACGTTTAACAGACACACACACACACACACATATATATATATATAATAAAAACTGACAGTTATTTCTTTGTTTTGTTCCAAGAAAAAATTCTGCGCATTTTTCTTTGTTTTAAATAAGTATGAAATTACACAACAGGAAGAAAAGGAAAAATTTGTTTACTCTGTCATTGTAACGTCAAAAAAATAATAAAGGAAAATCAAATGCAAAGAACATTAAACTCTTTTCTGAATTACAAAATCTGTTCGTGGAAACAATGGCGTCAATAATAATAATAATAATAATAGCAAAAGGGAATGTGTACAAAAAAAGACACTTTTGTGAATAGTGATACAATAGAAGGTACGCAGAAACTTGGGCTTGATCATGTAAACAAATGTGAGACGTACTTTAACATATTCGAACTGAAGTTCTCATTTTGTTTACTATAGACGCCAGTCTAGACACAACGTTGCCGTTCAGTACCGTCTGACTATCTTCAGGTGTTCATTGCTTTTGGTGGATATGACATATCTGTGGATTATTGCGTCATTTCGTTTCTGTGGTGCTAGTTCTTGTACCCGTTGAACTTGTTTCAGTACCCGATTGAACTCATTGCCAGTGATTGGCAGAAACACGTTTACCCAGCTCCTTTATCCACTATTCCCTGAACGACATCAATAGTGTATTTTGGAGCCTTTATATTCAGTGTCAATGTTAAGAAATTGTCTTAAAGAATAGAACAGGTTAA